TAATTATTTTATTTTAAAGAAATTGATTCTATAATATTAAAAAATATATATATTAATAACAAATAATTGGTGTTATGTGTGAAGATGTATAGCTAATCTTTAATAAAATTGATGATTCAAATGATTTTTTTATTCGTCATCACCATACTTATTAGATCGAGACAAACTATCCGAAATATACTTTTCATTTTTTATATTAAAAATATATATTTATATATATTCCACTATCATTTAAAAATTCTAAGAATTCATGATATATATTATATCAATTTATTTTATAAAAAAGAGAAAACAATCATATTTTAAAATTTTATTATAAAATCTAAATATAGAGAAAAATAAAGTATATTCATCAATAAATAAAATTTTATAAAAAAATTAATTGAATTAGAATTTTCATAAGAAATGATAATTTAAAGAATAAATTTTAAATAATAAAATTTTATAAAAAATAAAAAATAATCAATTTAGAATTTTCATAAAAATTAGAATTTTCATAAAAATGACAAATTTAAAGAATAAATTTTAAATAGTAAGAGTAATATAATCTGAAATATATGTTAATTTTAAAATATAGGAAGATATTATATATATTGTATGATTGCCACACTCGCATAAAAAAGATAAATAATCACGCTCGATGTTTCATAATTTTTACTTAAAAATTATCAATTAAAAAATTAAAGAAAAAAAACAAAAAAACAAAAACAAAGCACCAGCCTCGCATAGACTAGGATTAGAAAAAATGGTTTTTTTTTTTTCATTTTCGACAGACTCTACCATTTTCGACGAATTTGATTTTGCCAAAAAGTAAATGAAAAGTCATATTTCTTAATTTTTGACACTCCCAAAACCAAATCCAAGTCCTATTTTTTAAACAAAAACCTTAAAATTACAAAAAAAAAAAACATAAAAAAACCTATTTAAAATCTCAAAATTCATTTTAATACATACAAAACACATAAAAATTCAAATTAAAATAAAAAAAATCAAAGCATTTTCGAATCCTAATATACCTTTTCTAATCATTTCATAGTTTATGACTATCATAAATAAATTATACTCTTCGAGACAAACAAAATGATGGTGATTGTGGTTATCAAGATAGCCATAATGGGACTCTCTCTCTCCTTCTCTCCTTCAAGCTATCGGGGATGAAAACACAACACAAATGAAGTTTGAGATTGAAACAATTTTTAAAAAAAACATAAGGAAGCGAAATGAATTTTTTTTTTTGGCAAACTTGGTCATGAACAGTGAAAATGCACAATACAAATCAGTGTGGGTGAATAATGAGAATGAGTGCGGGTAAACAGTAAAAAAATAATTAATAACTCATGTGCTTTAGTATTCTTTCAAATAATTTTAAATAATTCAATAAACAAAATTAAATTAAAACATATAAAAAAACACAAATATTTCAAAATAAATTTTTATAATACAATAACAAACACCCCTCAAATATGTTCTAAAATTAATAAAAAAAGAAGATAAGATTCTACTTTAGATAATCATATAAAATTATCTTACTAATAAATACAACTTCAAATTATGTTAACTATGAAAAATCCACTCTGTATTAAAAAATATTTTATTTTTATTAAATATGTGTCAAATTATTCATATATAGTTTACGAACATTTTAAAATTTAAGAAACCAAACAAAAACATATTTGTGATATAAGGACCAAAATGAAAAAAATAAAAAACTTTAACAAAACTTAAGCGTATTTCTAGGAAAAGAAATAATGGTGCAGTAGAAAAATCAATGTTGAGCATTAATTGCTTTGTCCTAATAAGGAGCAAGTTACCAAAGGGGGAGAAAAAAGGACAAGAAAAAAGAAGAAAGCAAGGGCAAGAAAGTAATTAAATAGCACCATTAAGTGGCATAACAACAATTAAGCAATCAATATAAGCGTTTTAGATTGACAATTGGAAAAGAAAAAAAATGGTTGAGAAATGTACCAAACAAATGAAATAAAGGAAAAAATGAATGGCTAAAAGGCATAAATAAGCAACACAAACAAACTTAGCAGGAACACGTTCAATTAAGAATAAAGAAATAATAAAGATGAAAGAAGGAGAGGAAATGAATGAGAGAGAAAGAGCAAAGGATAGATGGACGGCTGATAGGGTGGGAAGGGAGGAGAACAGTGCAGTAGGGCTGAGTTCACAGTACCAATGGGTGTATGTGAACAATGCTGAAACAGGAAAACCATCACTTAGTTTAATTTCTTCTGTAATAGTTTTAATTAACACAGCACTAGCATGCTAATTATGCCACCAAAGAAGTATAGACTTGCCAGTTGCCATTACCAACTACAACCTGAATTTGATTCCAAACAATATCTACGAGTTTAAAAAGCTTTTTCCAATACCAAGCACCATCTCTAGTGCTCCTTAAGCTCCAAAAACTTTTATCCCTCAATTATATGCATAAATCCACGCAACTCAAAGAGAACAACTCTAGGAGAAAGACTATATATATATATATATATATATATATATATATATATTAGAATAAATGTAACATTCCATTCTTTAACCTTTTTTATTCCTAGCCTACTTTTTTGCTCAAGCAAAATCACATTTTCCCAAGTTACCTTAGCTCCAGAAGCAGAATCTTCCTCCTTCTACGAAAAAAACATTACACTTTTACTCGGGACACTAGACAACTCTAAAAGGAAGCAAAAAAATTGAAGACCAGTAACTTTGGATAGTTATGTAAGCATAGAAAGAGCACTGACTATTGATTGCTTCCATTTAGCCCAACAAGAAGATATCACATTGATCTATACTGCTGGCACTGATATCGTTTTCATCAACAATCTACCGAATAAATCCGCTCATACCCAGTCATGTCTAGCTAGCTTAACACCAAAATCAATGTGATTACTACAAAAAGATAACATAAAAAAATGTTTTTCATGCGAAAGGCTACATAAAACCAGCAAAGAGCTGATAGGACATACCACTGCCGGCCACCATGGGCCATCTTCACAAGGCTCGTTCGCTCAACTTACATCCCCAAGCACAGGCTCCACTTCCAGGCGCTCTAATTCGATTCTTTCCTCTCGTCTTCGCTTTCACGAGTTCCAATACTTTCATAGCCTGATGTTTTGGTTCAAAATTTAGTTAAAAAAAACAAAAACATTGAAAAATCAACATTGCTGTCTCGATTAATGTTAAGAAAATAAAACAGATAAACTAACAACATCCTATTCTTTGCGGCAATCTAGAACATTTTTCTAGTCTTATATGTAATTCCCAAATGGTTTTTGTGCATGAAATATTGGAGATAAAACTTCCTCGGGATATGCAGAACCCAACATAAATTCGAAACACAGAAAGAGAAGGCATGCATCAAATACAAAAAGAAAAGTACACGTTGGAAAGGAGAATTGGTGCGGGAGCATCCACGCATCCATCTCTCATTTGGCCAAAAGGCCAAAAGTTAAGCTCTCCAATGTGACCGAAACTTTCAGCCATCTATCTATCTATTTTGTTGTTTTTTATTTATTTAAGTTGGATATTATATATTTAGATTATTTTTAATTATATGGATTTGAGTTAATTAATTAGTCCTAATATGATTTTGAGTTTCCTTACTTAATTAGGACATGGCCTCATGTGTCATAAGTGGATGATTAATTTTTATGCGATGGGGATTCTTATTTATTAACAATTCATTATTTATTTATGAATCCATATAATTTGTCGGTTCATATTTAATTTGATTGAATTAAATAAGTTCTAATTGAAATGGATGACATAAATTCAAGTCTAGTGAGAAAAATAATTCTAATTAGGAAAATAATTTTGGTTAAGAAAAAAGTTAGATTTGGCCAAGGAGAGAAAGACTCACTCTAGTCAATTCTTTAGATTTTTATGTGAGTATTTAAGCATGCTTTATGCTTCTCTTTTAGTAGACTTTGATTAAAAATTTAAATGAAAACTTACGAGTTTTCTCTAGAACTTCTTGTGTATCTTCTTTATTTGAATTGGCTAAGACATCGTGAACATATCCTTAGAATGATCGATTAAAGCCGACTTAAATCAATAATTAGGACATCGTGAATATATCCTTAGAGTGATCCACTAAAGCGGGCTTAAATTAACAATTGCGTCAAGTGGACTCTTAAAAAATACATTTTGTAAGTACTCTCTAAATCAACTTGGGTAGAGAATTCCTTTTTAAGATATGAAGCATTGGGCCTTGCTTTTATTATTTTATTTGCTTGATAAATTGCAAGCTAATTAGGATTAGGATTTCAAGACTGAACAGATTCAGTCTCAAAGCTGTTAACTAAGGCTAGAGATTTTAATTTGATCTAGAATTTTGATAGTAGTTAGCTAAGGGATTGTTTTAGCTTTTGTTAAAAATTCACAAAATTTCAAAAATATTTGATAGGGTCTTGGGAGTGTCGTAATCATTGTAAATTTTAGAACATATTCTGTCCATAATTTCAACTTGTTGAAAAATAAGGCTATAGAACTTAGATTGACCTAAATTTTAGTATACACATACCTATGGACTTTATCTACTTTCTATAAAAATTTCAGCCAATTTTGAATTGATTTGCTAGGTCAACGTTCCTATCCTTGGTTCAGATTTTGTGAGTTTGTGGTTTGGTGATTGTGGGTTTTGTTTGTATTTGTGTTGAGGATCTTGTTGATTGTGATTTGGCTTTTGATTGTGTGTTATTTGAGATCTGATTGGGGTGTGATTGAGGCTGGTTTTTAGCTTGGGTGTTTTGACATATAGAGCTATTCGTTTGTTGCTTAAGTATTTGAGTTTCCGCGGAGCGTGAAATCTCTCGATCCAGCATCAAGAACACACATCAATTATTAGTAAAATTTGGATTCCGATGTAGATACGAGGCTATTCAGCTGATCTTTAATTACAAGATGCAACAGGAATTAAGTACAGCAGCGACCTACAGCCTTCTCAGGTTGGAATCACCCTTGAATTATCTCTAGCTTTGATATCATCTCTTCAAATGTTCGTCGTCGTGCAGGATTCTTATGCCAACACTCTTGAAGAAAACCTTGATTGGCTCAGGTATAAAAACGAGGATAGACATGGTCGAGCATCTTCATATGCCTGTTTGTCTGCAGTGCTCAGAGCCTTCTCAGGTTGGAATCACCCTTGAATTATCTCTAGCTTTGATATCATCTCTTCAAATGTTGGTCGTCGTTCAGGATTCTTATGCCAACTCTCTTGAAGAAAACCTTGATTGGCTCAGGGTATATAGACGAGGATAGACATGGTCAAGCATCTTCGTATGCCTGTTTGTCTGCAGTGCTCAGGGTGTTCTTCCTTGTTTGATGTTCCCCCCTTGGAAGCGTACAATAATAGCAGCGGAGAAGGCATCGATACTTTTCCCATAGGACTCTTGACGATAAACCTCAGATGCCACTGTATGAACCCACTCCTCCAGTCATTTTGTAAATTTGGGCATCCTTTTCATGTGCAATTTTGCTTAAGCTAAAGTCTGTAACCTTGAGGTGCCCAGACTCATCTTGTAACACATTCCTTGGTGTTATCCAAAACTTGCCCCTTGCAATATCCAAAACATAAGCAGCTGTTGTTTGCTGATCGAGTCTTCCCTTCTTAGTATGTTAAACAAACTTCCACTGCAAAGGTACTCAGTGAGGATATCAACCGATCAGAGTGCTTTATAACTCCAAGGAACTGCACTATATTAGGGTGGCGAAACATTTGCCATAACCTCAGTTCCCTCAAAAAGACATTCCTTATCATTGCATTTCATGCAGTGGAAGAATGAATATAGTCCTTGCTGCCATTACTTTACCACCCCATTTCACAAAGTAAACTTCATCGTATGATCCTTCTCCTACAAGTGTTGCACCATCAATGACCACTTCAGAGAAATTAATCTTATAGCATATTGGAGTCTCGCTTTCAAGTCCTACTGGATCTACTCCACCTCGAGTTTCCAAAATTTTGCAATTATCTTGGTAGCCAAAACTGGGAGCATCTGACAGAGGAGTGTGACCCTAACGGTCGACAGAATTCACACATCTGCTCCTTTCTCAAGTTGTAATATCACGACTTCAGTGCGGCATTCACAGGGTGCCAAACGAAGAGCTGTTCTCTTATCATAATCGGCCAGATTGGGTTCCACACCTTTGTCTAACTCTTTTAGCACTCCTTCTTTGTCACCCTTCTTTGAACAATAAAGCAGCCAATATGGATCTTCTGAGTCAAATGCGTCCTCTTTAAGCGAGGGGATGGAGTCTTGCAATATTCCATGAATAAAAAATAATCAGAGCAAGCAATCACTGACCAGGAAAATGACAGAAAAGGAATAACAAAACGAATGTAGTAATACATATGTTCCAACTATAATTTTTATTCTAGCAAACTTAACTGCAGTGAAGTGTGTTTAAACAACAGTCTAGCTCGAGCTTGTAACCAGACACACTGATAGTTTATACATTTCTATGAAATGATGATTTTATGAACATTCTTGTTAAATTCGATCAATTCCAGGTTTATTTTCTTGTCTTGTCCCTTGTCGATCATTTTTACCTAGCTTTTTAGGTCTCCTGTGATTGGATCAAGAGGGTTTTTATTTTTACCTTGTTTTCTACGTATCCTGAGATTGGATTAAGAGGATTTTAAAATAGATAGAAGCTAAAAAACCACATCACTAATGCTCGAGGAACGCACACAAGTGGCACGGATGTTACCTTTTTTATGGTTTATTATACTGTTTGGACGTTGAGGAAATTAAGTAATGCAACTTTACTTAATTCTTTATTAAATACACATGTCAAGGGCACGCCAGAAACTTAATCTCTATTTTACATACAATTTGACCCACGAACACCCTTAACATCAAATAAAAAAAATTGTTATTCTTCATTTCTGTATAAAAATGAAATCATTCTCAATAAAAATTAACCGGAAAAAATGCATTTAATTTGATGATGGATATTAGATATACTCTCTTTTAATCCTGCAACGAAATGCTGTATTTATATTTTAAATAACATCTTAACTTCTTTAGGTATCTTTTATCCTAATTACAGAGTTTGCTTTCAACTGGTAAATCTATATTCATATGTCGATTGAAAATTTATCTATTGAACATTGAAAAAATAAAAAATAATTAGAGGAAAACCACAAGGACTAGGGCACACCTAGCCTTTACATAAATCAGAACATTATGATCCTCACAAAATCAAATTGATTGATGCAGTGGATCCAAGTAATAGCATCAACTCGGAGAAATATATTAACAGTCAAGAAAACTTGTAATTTGATAAACCTGTTTACGAGCGAAAGCAACTTCCATTTAGAAATCATAATGCAAGCATGATTAGGAAGCTAGAGAGAAAACGAGAATCTTGGCTAAAGTTTAATTTGTTGCAATGCCCTTCCAGCACAAATCCTCACGACAATGCACTGTCTGCGTCAAAAGCAATCCCCCACAACATAAGAATGCAAGGATATGAAGTACAAGCAACCTAGCACCCAAATTGAGCTCTAAAGGTTGCAGCATCACTACAGCCGCAGCACATTGAAGCTCATACAAAATACATCAATTATCTCGCAAGTTGCCACCAGCTTGTTAGAGACTAAGATAACACCTCCATTTAATTGAATGGGGACCCAGAAGGGGCAACTAGACCGAGGGTTTGCATGACTTTAGTTCTCCGCAATTCCTGTAACCTTCCAAAAAATGTTCCACCACCCTAAAGCAGTAGTTCAATTAGTAAAATCAATTTTGCAAGGGAAACAAGATAATAAAAGAACTGCTCGGTAACACGAAAAAAAGTGCTGCGTACACTCACAGAGCTTGGGCTCAGCTCATGTTTCTCCCGCTCCTCATCTTTCTCAGGGCTTTGATAGTTGGTGTCTGCTGCAGCACTTTGACTATTTCGCTTAAGTCTCTTCTTCTCTGCCTGATCAGGGGTTTTTGTTTGTGCTTGTCCATTGGTACTTGTGCAATTCCTTTTGAGTTTATTCCTCATCCCATCTTGCTTAGGTGTTCCTTTTGAATTTCCTTTAGTGTTTGGGCTGTCAAATTTAAGTTCCTTTTCCAACACATCTTGATTGGAGGCCTTACTAATTGCTTCCTCAACAATTTTAGAAAGAAAATTGTCATCCTTCGTCTTTCTTACCGGTGTATTCGCATTGATTTGTTTCCTTGGAGAGACCCTAGCCTATTACCAAATTCATATTCATGCAGCAATTGTGACTCCTTCCAAAGTCTAAGAAAAGGGCTCGATAATTGAGCAGAAGTTCATGAACTTTAAGTGTTCAAGTTAAACTTTCAAGTGTTTCGAGTTAAAATTAGGCATTCAATAGGCCTCCTGAATCAAAGAGTAACTGGGCTTGAAGTGCAAATTAAGGATAAGCTCATCATTATTTTTTTGCTGAAGGTTCATGGGACTGCTGTGTTTAACAGAAGTAGCACAAAGATAATTGTATCTTGCAGAAGACTATCAAACCAATGCATGACAAGGTGAATTCTCAATTCCTGTGTCTCAGTCATTTGATTTTACCCTTTTTTGTTCTATATAATAGTTACTTCTACATTTCTTGTCTTAATTAGTTATTTTATCTTATTGTTCTTTTTATTGTTGGGTTACTTTGTTTGTTGCAGTTCTAACCGAAAGTTTATGCTTTACTTTCCACAACTTTCCTGAGTAATTACTTTGCTGCAGCCAACTTCATGTGCATAGCCATCATAATGCGTACACAAGAAAGCAAACACAACCTAGGGAACACAGAGGCAGATAAAACTTACATGAGTTGAGGATTCTCTCTTGCAGTTGACTCGATTTTGATTGGAGCTCTTATCTTTAGAAGCACTAGCTCTTCCATTTGATGTGCCTGCATAATACATATATGCATTAACTAATCCTCCTATATGCATGATGAGTTTTGTGTTATCCTACCAAGTAACTTTTCAATACATCAAAATACATATCATTAGATGTAACACACATCATGCTTCAAGACAGCCACGTCTCTAATAATCAAATCAAATATCAACTAACTAGCAACAAATTGATACTAAACAAGTAACCTTTCTTCATTTGATCACTATACAAAACTTCCACAGTAAAACATCATTTCTGCTTCACTAGTATATTGAACTTTGGCTGCATTTAGTAAGAAGTTAAACATTAAGTGTAAATGGTTAAACACTAAAGGTGAAGTGCTAAGAATGCAAAAGGTATTTTAAAGTATTTGGTAGGAAAGTAAAATTGTGTATTATAATGGATCCCATTAAAGAAGATTTAATTAAAAGGATATCAAATAATGTGTAGTCATTGAGCCAGTGATTAAGTGCCTGTTTAACCCCCGCTTTTCAAGTCTTCACCTTTTACTCGTTTTGCTTTAAAGCAAAGCAATTTAAAAAAAAAAAAAAAAAAAACAATTGTTTGGTAACCACTATAATACTTCATTTTGTAATTTTTTGGGAGTGAAAGGTGATTCCATTTAAACCATAATGGTTCCACGTAAGAAAGCATGTGAAGTGATGTTCTATGAGATGTAAAGCTGCCCATTTCATTTCAAAGACAAATACTCTTTAAAAAGTTCTTAAATAACAAAAACACCAATAATCTATTTATCGGTCTTAAATTAAATTGTGTTAAATCTATGTTCACTTTAAAAAATTGGTGTAATGTTTTGTTTCTTTTCTTTTTTAACTTATACTATTTAAAACATTTCATTTTAGTAATAAAAGTATTCATATTTTAATTTCTTTAAAAAAAAAAATTCCTAAATTTAAGCTATGTCCTTAAAATTAATTTTAATTCAAATAACATACCAATAGATTACCAAACAATTAAGTGATTTTACTCATAGCACAGCAGATTATTACCTTGTTTAATTTCAGTAACACCACATTGCAATATACCATACAAGCTTTCAATGCAAGTGAAGAGGGCAAAACAGAGATTACTCCTCCCTTCCTATTCGCAATTAGCCTACAGTCGCAAAATGGCAAGTCCCACGCGACACATTCGTATCTTAGTTGTTTGATATAACATATTGGAGATGTTACTAGTTTATGTAACTTTATAAAAGAGAGCATGCTGCAACAATAAATCTGTTCTGAGAGTGGACTTGCAATAATAGATTCCTTTTCTAACCATAGTTTTTATTGATGGCTTTTTCAAGTAGAACCAAATGTTCGTTTAACTTAATCCATTACTTGCAATTTCTATGCTTGGCATTCAAATCAATTGGGATTCTCAACACATCCACCAGAATTGATACGATCCATTCATTCCAGAACATAAGTAATTTTCACAAGCTATGGAAAACAGAGAATATACATGGACAAAATGAAAAGGAAGAATAGAAAAGGAGAAAGGCTAACCTTTAGAATTGGATCCTTTCCCCTTTGATCGGCCAGATTTTGATCGAGGGAGATCCTATAGCCATAGTCAAATAGCAGGTCAAACCATAAACTACTAGCACGTGTTGTTATTTTTCTAGAAGAGCGGCAACTACACTGTGGCAACAACCTTGTTAAGAATAGCCTGATTTAAAAGTTAAGAAAGGTTACCTGCTCTAAAGCTTCCACAAACATTTCATGGTAACAACCACCATTCTCCTTGAGCGTCTAAGATTTGTAGATAAGAGAAAGAGAAACAGGATAACAATCAAAAAGCCTTTGCGAGCACAAAATGCTGAAATCTAATGTACTTGAAAGTTTTCTTTCAGAGACAGCTTATTATTGACACTTACAATCTCAAACTCAGAACGACATTTAACCGGATCAGCATAAAAGCTGCATAGTGGGACCAAACAAGTTAATATGTATACATTTACCAGTGAAAAGGGAAAAAAGTTGGGAATAGAGGGAACACTGACTATTGATAGCTTCCGTATAGCCTAACAAGAACATCTCCCATTGATCTATTGCGAGGTTTACTGCTCGCACTGATATTGTTGTCATCAACAACCTACAGACAAATCAGCAGGTAATCAGTCATGTCTAACCATTCCAAAATATACAATGTAAAGAGGTTTTCATCGTAAAGGCCATATGAAACCAGTAAACACTTAATATGGCATACCACTGCAGGCCACCACAACCCATCATCATAACGCCTGACCCACATTACATCCCCAAGCACAGGCTCCACTTCCAAGTGCTCCAGTTCGAATTCTTTCCAGTCATCATCCCTTTCATGACTTCCAATACTTGTGCGACGTTTACCTTTCATGGTAAGTTGTTTTGGTTCAAAATCTAGTTACAAAAACAAAACAAAAATCAGGAATCAACACCACTGTTTCCAACCATAGTAAAACCACACAGCTAAATTACCAACAGCATCTTTGCAGCAATCTAAAAGGCGTTGTAGTCTTCTACTAGAGCTGATATTGCAACCGATTCACAAAATGCACTTTAAAAACAACAACAAAACCAACTTAATTACACCAGCGATGACCAGACATCAGTACTAGGAAGTACTAAAGAGCAAAGGTTGTCTTGATATGAACACGAATTACATTATGTGAAGGATCAACCAACCAAACCATCGATCAAAACCCTAACGACCCAGAATAAATTCTTGCATTATGTGATACACAGACAACCGAAGCTCCAAAATATTTCACCAAGTAGAACGGAAATCTACATAGCTTATCTTTAGTTGCCGATCATTGAATCGAAATCAGAAGAGAGTCACAGTGAATTTGGCACTTACCAATTATCAGTGCGAGCTGGGTTTAACGAGAGAGGCTAGCGAGATCCACGCATGCGAACGATTTTTAGTGGGAGTTAAGTGAACCGGTAGAAGTGGAAACACCAAGCTGCTTTTACTGTAGCATGTGCCAGCTAATTAATTTTTTTGATTAAGATTATACTTTTTACGAAATGATCTTTTTAAGAATTTATTTATTCTTGGAAAGAAGGACTAATCTTGCATTGCCTCGTTCATAAATGAGCTTTAAAAATGAGATAATTATGCTATAAATATGCTAACTTTTAACTTTTTTTACAATGTAACACATGAATTTTAATTTTTTTAGTTTAAATATATTAATTTTAATAAAATTTTCAATTAAGTACTTCTATCAACTTTTAATGTCTCTTTTATCCACAAAATATTAAATTATAATTTTATTTTTTTCTCAATCGAATACATGAATTTTAATATTTTTTTCATTTGAATGTATCGACTTTTTCAAAACTGTCAATAAAGTATTTTCATTATTTTCTTCATTAATTAATGATGTATTCAAATACGAAATTATAATTTTACCCTCTTTTGTTGAAAAAACTTTCTCATCAAATTATTTTACTATTTTATTATTTGAAAAATTATTTAAAAATTATTTTTTATCTCTAAAATTTCAAATTAAACTCAATTAGAGATTTTATATATATAAAAAAAACTTAGTTAGGATTAAAAGTCAAAATTAAAGAAAAACACAAATAAATCTTCTTGATAAAAAATCTCACGTTTGTGTTTCCTATAATTTTTATGCCCAAAATCTAACTCTTTTTTTTTTTTTAACGAGCAAGCCTTGCTAAGTTTAATTAGAGATTTTATAACTAAAAATAATGTTTTTTTTTAATTTTTTATCAAATTTTAAAATGATAAAATAATTTAAGGAGAAAGTTCCTTACAACGAAAGATGAAAAAAATATAATTTCATATTCAAACACGATATCAATTAATGAAAAATTTAACAAAAGTACTTAATTGATAATTTTGAAAAAATTGGCATACTCAATTTGAAAAAAATTAAAATTTATGTACTTCATTGAGAAAAAAAAAAGACAAAGTTATAATTTTGTATTTTGAGAGTAACAAACGCGTCATCGACTAACAAAAAAATTGACGGAAGTACTTGATTAAAAAAATTAACATATTCAAATAAAAAATTTTAAATTTACGTACTTCATTAAGAAAAGGTTGAAAGCCGATATACTTAATACTGTAATTATTTCTTTTGAAAATAAGACTCCATACAGGCTTGAGACTTTGGTGAGTCAAAGCTTATAATTGCTCATGAACAACGCGACTCGTTTGCATCTTTAGACTAAGTGATCTCAAGAAAAAAATCATGTGGGTTTGGATTGGTTGTCAAAAGCAAAAAAAAAAAAAATCAAAGATATGACACGATATTTAATAAAATATAATGATTTTTTTTTTAATTTATAACATATATTAGTTGGTTGTTCGTATTACAATATGGGTCGAGCTGAACATAATATTCATTTCAGAATTTTATAAGCTTTAATTAAATTTTGTATTTATGTAAATTTTTTCATAAATTTTCCATTTGAAAAAAAACATGATTCAGTCTTCTTTATGCATTGATTCTTGAATAAAAATTTATAATAATTTGAATTGAAACATTAATCAAAAATAAAAAATACTTTAAAAATATATATTTCATAAGATTGTACTAAAAAAATAAATCTACAATTAATGTATCGACTTGAATAAAAAATAATAAATGAAAAAAATAATTTTTTATTCTTATCCATGATAAAAGATTTTTTTTAAAATTATATGTATTTAATTTTTATTTATTTATAAAATAATCAATAATGCTAGCATAAAAAAATTGTATTTAAAAGATTTGATAATTATTTTAAACAATTGTTTCATTCATTTTATTTTAAAAAATGGTTTTATAATATTAAAAAAATAGAAAATTTTTGGTGTTATTTATGTAGAAGTATAATTAATTTTCAATAAAATTGATGATTTAAATATTTTTTTTTATATACACCATGATTGTATTTAGTGGGTTGAGAGTATACAAAATAGAACGACAAATATATATAAACAAATATTAAATAAATTATCTGAAACATATCATATATATTTTACCCTGGTCAAACTACATAAGAAACACAATATATATATATATATATATATATATATATATATATATTATTGAAAAAAAAAAAAAAACTAGCTAGAAAGCAGGCATGCACGCACTTGGGCTTAACTTCAGGCCCATCATATGCTTGGGCATGGTTCCAAACCCGAGTAAGCTAGAGCCCCAGAAAAAGAAAAGAAAAAAAAACAAACTGAACGTTGTAATTTTCGACCAACCATGGTTTGCCGAAAACATCGCTGGAAAACGAATTTTTAATTTTCGGTCTCTCCAAACCCAACTTTAACTCCATTGTTATCTAAAAACAGCTCAAAATAACACCAATAAACTCGTTTTGAATCTAAAAAAGGTTGAAAGTTGATATATTTATATTGTAATTATCTCTTTTAAAAATTAGCTTCCAGACAGGCTTGAGCTTTTGGTGAGTCAAGCTTCTAACTCATTTGCATCTTTAGACAAAGTGATCTCAGGAAAAAAAATCGTGTGGGTTTGGATTGGTTGTAAAAACGAAAAAAAAAATTAAGATAAGACACGATATTTAATAAAATGTAATGAGTTTCTAGATGCAAAACTTCATATAATTTAGAACGTTTATTAGTCAGATATCCACCACGTTACACTACAGATAAGGTTGAGCATAATATTCATTTCAAAATTTTATAAGTTTTTAATTAAATTTTATATTGAAGTATTTTTTTTCATAAATTTTATATTAAAAAAAATATGATTCAGTCTTGTTTATGCATTGATTCTTAAATAAAATTTTATAATAATTTGAACTGAAATATTAATCTAAAGTTCAAAAAAAATATTTTAAAATATATTTTTCTTAAGATTGTATTTAAAAAATAAATTTATAATTAATGTATAGATTTAAAAAAAATAATCGATAAAAAATAAATTTTTATTCTTATCTATGATAAAAAAATTATTTTTAAAAAATATATATATTTAATTTATATTTATTTATATATAAATAATCAATAATGCTAGCACAAAAGAACTGCATTTAAATGATTTGATAATTCTTTTAAAAAACGGCAAAAGCTGATCCAAAACTATGCTCACAAAACAAGAGCAATCCTTGACCGTTGGATCTAAACCATGCCACAAGCTCACATGTGCCTGAGTACACCCTTCCGTTGGACCCAGAGTCGCAAAACCCTTTGTCTCCCTCTGCATCCAAAACTAAACCCTCTTTCCCTCGAGGATCCACTACCATCTCCAGGTCAGTAACCATCAATCGCTCTCTTTTCTTGTACTGGAATAATTGTTTCTTTACTGGCAGAGAATTCTTGTTTGGTTGACTTTGATTAACTAAAGTTTCATTCATGACAAGAAAAACTATTTCAAGGGAAATTAGGTTAAAATAAAACAATCAATCTATATCTCCTGAAAAATTTAAGAACCCTGTTAAAAATCTCATTTCTGTTCTAAATTCTTTGATGGGGTTTTGTTTTTCAATTTAGTCTGATACCAGTGTTGCTTGTTTTGAATCTGATGTCTCAAATGTTTATAAATAGGGGTGTACCTCACTAAGGGGAAATCTTCCCGGTGATAAATCCCAAGAGCTTGTGTGTTGAATAGTAATGGTGGACCCATGGTGGTCTCTATTGGGTGCAGCAATACCTGCTATAATTGCAGGGCAAGCATTAAGGATGAAGAAAAGAAGAGCTGAAGAGCAGAGGTTAAAGAGTGCTAGAGGCCGTGAAAAGAGCTCCGATGAAATTTTTGTTTGCGAGAGGGTGTGCACTTCGAAGAGGATGCTAAAGAAGGTTGGCGCATTATCTAAAGATCCAACTATTGATACTTGTGTGACTGTTTGTGGTGTTTCTGAGCTTGATGCTTGCGCTGATGCGTGTGCGAGAACTGTCTGTGTTAATCAGCACCAAGTGCCTAACTGGAATGATATTTGCCTTCGGAGGTGCCAAAGTGAGTGTCTTAGGCTATCCAGCTCCTCTGCAACTTCTTGAGATGCTCTGTACTGTGTCTGTTATTACTCTTGATTTACTTGAAGTAGACTGTAATTTTCATTTCCTCCAGGAATTTGATGGTATACTTTGTTCAAAATGGAAACGGAATTTCACTTTTTCTTTGGTTTTGGACATGCTCATAAAGTGTTCGATCAATTGTGTACCAACGTTGGCCTTTCTATTCTGGTTTAAAGGACCTTGCCTGAACATGACACGGTTTTCCCGCACCTACCTTTGCATTGGCTTTATTCTGGAAGCTCAGCATGGATGAAAACACCGACTAACGAAATGCTCTTTCATCAATAGGCTGTGATTTTGCCATTAGGCCATGTGACCAACAGAACTCACGTAATACCATGGTTGAACTCACGTCATTTTGCCATTAGAGTGCATTTTGGGCGGGTTGTAGGCGGTCTCCATGCATGTTTATTTGATGCTAATTCCAACCAAAGAGCCATTGGGGCTTAAGATTTAGAGACCCAGCTATCTTTCCTTGCCTTCTCTGTGGTTTGCTGGCATTCGCACCATTGGGAAAATGGCATTTGCTGGTTTGCACTATAGGTATAGGCAGCTTCCAGCTAATTGGCGAATTTTTCAAGTTGAAAGCCCTAAAATAAGCATGCATACTTATCCTAGAAGATTCCATTTCAAGTTGATTGTGCATATTGCAAATGTTCTTCATTGATTTCCGAAGTCATCAACAGATTTTGTTTGGATACCTTAATCGTTCGTCATGAGGTAGCTCTGAATTGTGAAAGCCTCGTGTGGATATTCTCCAAAAGAAATCTTTCCCCTGGCGGAGAAGTGGAGTATATTCGATTCAATGAAGTTACAAGCTCGATCTGGTTGACGTTTGGCAAACTTAGAGGTTTAATGACATAATTTATTCTTAAATTATTAGAGTTGTAACAAATAAGTTCTCTATTATGTTTATTTCAACTTTAAGCTATTGACTTTTAGATAAATTTTGTCATTTTCTGCCGACAGCCAAAGTATTAACCATTAATTGAAATATTTAAAATATCATCGTTTTAAGTACTTAAGTTTTATTCTTTTTTTAGAATTAAAATTAATTTTGGTTTTTTTTATGATGTGGTTTTTTCTTTCTCTCTAGATGGATCAATTGGATATCATTAATTATCTAATAACAAAAATCAGATCCATAAACAACAAAATTATCTAAGTTAACTATTATTAAATATTTTTTTCGAATTAATTTTAAGATTGATCCATTACACATTATTAATTATTAAACAATAAAAATCAAATTCATAAACAACATAATCATATAAACTTTCTTAAAACTAACTATTATTATTGTTATTTATTTATTTTGTCAATGACTTGACTTGTCCTTACATAATAATTTAAGTTTATAATATGTCTTTATATTTTAAAATGACTCAATTATATCTCAGCTATTTAAGCCAGTTTCTAATCTATTCTTTTGGCCAATTTTTTCCACGAAATCACTTGAAAATATCACATGTTAGTATGTAAGTGTTTAAGAGATTGCTATTTAACATATTTTTAATGCTGAAGAGTCTATTATATTATTGTCATTGTAATAGTTTATTTATGTATAATATTTGCTAATATATTAAATTATCTCTATAAAATAAAAAATGTCAATGGGGTGCAAAAATGACTAAAAGATATAAATATCACTGATTGGATTAAAAAAAAAAACTACGAAATTATAATTTAATGATTGTTAACTTAGTCTCTTAACTAAGCATGTAAGTAAAAAAATATGTAATTAACAACTATGTAATTATAATTTAAATGATTGTTAATTGGTCTTTTAAGCATGTTTTCTTTGATTAAAATTATTTAATTTACATAATTATTTATTTTTTAACAACAATATAATGGACTGTTTAGCATCAAGGATAGATTGAAGACTCATTCCATCATATAAAGATACATTAGAAACTTAATATGTTAAGCGTAGAGAGGTATTGTTGTAAAAAAAAATCATATGTAGATCATGTGATATTTTCAGATGATTTGGTGAAAAAAAAATTGATAGATTGAAAACTTGATTAAATAACATAAAAATAATTGATTTATTTTAGAATATAAAAACACATCGGAAACTCACTTATTATATAAGGACACATCAGACATTGAGCTCTAAAAAAAATAAAAAAATTAACTGGAGAGCTCATTGCAATTCTCTTGCTGTTAATTCTAATCTGCATTATAGGATCGTCGTCATTCCAGCTGAATGTCGAGTTTGTAGTGGTGATTCTGAATCCCAACTTCATCTCTTTCCCCTCTACCTGAAAGCAAGGCAGGTATGGATTATGTCTCCATTCCATCTGCTTACCGATGCCTTACCTCATTCTTCCTTCTCAGTTTGTTGGATTGCATTACGCTCTACTATAAATCAGCAGCTGGACATCACTTCACTTACTTCAATTCCCTTGCTTGCTCATACGTTGGAGACTATAGAAAGTTCGAAATGACTTTATCTTCAATGCAATATATTGGCCCCTTCCCAAAGCTTTCGAAAGTTGTGGAGTACCAGCATGAATATGACCATTGCAGTCAGTTTGCCGCCTTCCTAACCCCTAGAATATGCCAACATATGTCAACTCTTCCTCTCCTAGCTGGAGACCTCTACCACCAGGTACTATCAAGACTAATTTTGATGGTGCCTTCTCCTCCAATCCACGGGCTTCGCAGGACATGTAGTCAGAAGACGACCAGGGAATTGTGTTTGTAGTAAAAGGTGTGTACTACCCATTCGCTCTAGATTCATAAACCATGGAAGTTTCGGCGTTCAAGGGGGATGCTCTCTTAACCGATTCTCTACATCGACCAATTCTCGTTGAAGATGATGTTAAATTATTGATTGATGTTGTTGACTCTTGCTCATTTAATCTCAGTGAAGCTCACACCATCATCCAGGAGGCATCCCATTGCTGAGCCAGGAGATCATGGGAAAGGTTCCAACAATTACGAAACAAGAACAATACTATTTTGTTTATTGTATTACATGACATGCCATTGAGCTGTCTGATGGAAGGAACTAGAAATAACTTCTAATGTTTTCATTTGAACCAAAATTATGCTACAAACCTTCCGAACTCCAAGAATCTAGCATATTATACCCCTAAAATGCAGTTGACTCAAGAAGACTAAACAGATCATCTATTTTCTGCAGGAGGACTGAGATCACAATTGTCTAGTTGACTTTCAGTCATAGAGATACTATGGAACTCGACCTTCTAGTCAAAAAGACTAAAAACTCCGGTGAATTAATTGATCTATCTGGAGAAAACTTAAAACACGAGCAGCAATGTTGATGACAATTAAAAGAAGTATTGGCATAGGGCGAAAATGGTGGTGACGTAGCTGTTGAGTATGAAGATAACAGGATGAGTATTTATGCAGACATAGAGACCAATATGTCAGGGGAAAAAGAAGAAAAAAAAACATTACTAATTACCTTGAACTTTCAAGTAAAACTTACCTACATTTACTCGCACATTCCAACATTGCAAATCAACAAGCTCATATACAATGCCTGCATTTTTCTTCTGTACTAAATGCCTAAAGTGTTCAACTTGGAACAGATAAGCATCCTACAAAATGTACATTTCATTAAACACAGAGCAACTTTTACAGATCCATTGAGTAAACTGCTGCAAGAACATTGCTACACATCATAAAATGTTACATATCAACTATACGCAGTCAGTTGCATCATAACATTTGAACTCTAAAAAACAACTAAAAGCAAAAGGTTACAACGACAATACCTATGAAGTCCCCAAACCTAACCAGCTGCAAAAAGACCACCTTCACATTCCATTCCTTCCATTACATTGCACTTACTGACTACCCATCAGCCCTCACAAACTATGCCCGCAAGGGATATTTCCTAGGCCTTCCTCTCTTCCTGGGCCCTGCCGTCCCCGTTGCATTCCCAGCCACCCCTGCTGTCCCAGACATCCCCTTTGCACTCCCATCAGAAGCCTCCACCACTCTATCCCTACCCTCCACACCAACCCTCACTGGCGTGGCAGCTGCAGCATTACCTCTAATACCACCAACACCATGGCCGCCAACGCTACAACTCTTATCACCCACATTTGCCGCCACATTGCCACCACGCTTATCACTTCCTTGCTGCTGATCTGTCCCAAACATTGGCGGCATCCAATTAGGAAACCTCCCACCCACACTACCATTTTTCTCTCCACTCCCTGCAGTACCAAGTGTAAACCCCAAAGGAAAGAACCCCCAGCAGCAATAATAAGACTCCTGCCCGGGAACCAAAGGCGGCAATGACGGTAGTAAAACCGCATGAAACCCTCTCCGGCAATTTTGACACCTCAAACAACAATTCTCATAAACCCTTGGATACTCATACAAAATATAACAATACGGACATGCAGTCCAAAACGAAGATAATTTCGCTCTCTGTCCCTGCCCTTCTTGTTGATTACTCACGTTATTGACATTAGTTTTCACATGTTCGGCCTTTTTATGGCCAACAGGTCTCTGACTTCTCCTGACCGGTAATTTCCCTGAAGCAGTCAAATCAATCTTCGAAAACAAAGTCAATTCATTATCGTACAGCGTTTTTTTACCAACATCAGACAAAACAGCCCAAGCATCAGCGACAAGCTTGAAGGCTTGGTCCGCGAAAGGGTACCTGTTCTTGTCTGGATGGAGAAGTAATGCAAGGCGACGATACTGCTTTTTTATGAGCTCGGAATCGTTAGTTTTGCGGCTGATTTGCAAGATCAAATACCAGTCGTGGTGATTGTTGATGCGTTTTTCAGCTGATAAAAGAACATCGGCAACGGCTAAGATCTGATCTGAGCCTTCCAAAAGGGGTTCGGTTTCTTGAGCTAAAACTGCGAAGTCTTTTGTACCGTTGAGATCTCGTGATTGTAAGAGTTTCTCGGCGATTCCGAGAAGGCGTTCGGCTTCGGCTCTGTTGGGATTTTCGTTCATTTTGGGACTATTGGCTGATGAGCTTGATGCTGTTTTTGGTTTCTGCTGTTGTTTTGCGAGGTGAGGAAATGGTTGAGGGATGAAATTGAAAAGGTGCTTGCGGGTTGCAAATTGCAGGATGCCTTTTTTTAGATGGACTAAATTGGGGTTGACTGTTGAGTTGTATAAGGAAGTGGCGTGCAAACGAGATGTGGGTATTTTGGTCTTTTTAGAAGGTGCAAGGCTCAACGAGAAGGATAAATGATCACACCAGCCTCGCTGTATGTCAACCACCCTAATACAACAAGCACGCATGGATAAGTTAGTCCATGGCTTTTTATCCGTATTTCTATACAATTTATACCTTTTTTAATAGAATGACGTCATTTTGTAGGAATTTAAGATTTTTTATTAAACGATTATGACAAAATTCTTTGGTTGAAAAATCAAAATAACTTGGCTGTAAATTTAATATAAACAAATGTTTCAATGTAAAATAAACACTATCCTCGCTGAATTCTAATGGAATTATAAAATAAATCTAATTCTATTCTAACACAGTCTCATATAACTTAAAAAATATCATGCATTTGATATGTGAGATAACTGAGGTAATTTAAACATTTGAAAAAAAAATTGTTTTCTCAAAATGCTAAATATTTTAATGAAGAAAATAATTAAAAGTTTATTATCACAATACATCTCTCACTTGCTTTGATTCTAATTTTTCGAAATTAGGGTTTTATGTTCAATTAAAATAGTTTAAATTTTGTTACTAATTTAAATCTATCAATCGCACAAATTTAATGTGTGCACGCACGTACACACGTTTATTTCAAAATGTATTTAAGACTAAATTTCTTTAAAAATGAATAAGTTTTAAATCAAGGAATGTAGTATACCTTAAAATGCATCTAAGGTCAAAATTCAAGATAAGTGAAGAAGAAATTTATAACAGACTAATAGCATATCTCATCGTTTTACTATTGACATTTTTTTAATGTTTTATTTATTTATTTAATTAATCTGCTCTGTATATTTTGTTAACTTAACATTTGTGATGAGATTTCAGTCAATTTTTCAATAACATCCCCGATTAAAAAAAAAAAAGGGGGTACAGTAAGAGTTTTACGTATATAAAAAGGAAAGAAATAGTTATAGAAAGTAAAAAAAAAAAAAAGGTATCTTTCCTTTCCCACCCTCTCTCTCCCAACCACCATCCATAGCCATCATAATTTTTTTTTTTTTTTTAATCTCTTCAAACTCTAAAATCCCAAACCCCAATTCCCTTTCCACAACCAAATCACAAGTCTCTCAATTGTCATCTATGGCCAGCATCACCAACCATCCTTATTGCCACCATCAACTATAACAACCGACTCTGTCTCTCCCCTCTTCCCTTCCCTATGCCACCAAAACCATCTCCATGTTTGAAATATTGTTATGTTTTGAGTGTTTGTGTTCTCTTAATTTATTTGGGTTTGGCATTAATCAATTCCTTTGTTTTATGCTATCTATTATCAGGCAATCTATGTAAGACCAACTAAGTAATTTTGATTTCATTGACTGGAAGAGGAGTTTGAACGTTACTTCTAAATACACAATCAAAAGCTCTTCTTCGATTTTTTTCCCCCTTTGTTCACTTAATTGTTTAATAGTAATCATAGAATATGTAGCTTTCTTCAGGTTTCTTTTGCCTTGTTCAATTGATTATTTAGTAAGAATCATTGATTCTATAGATAACTCAACACTGCTAGGCAAATTGTCTTTCCAGTTCCTTGTCGATGATTATGAATTTAAGAGCGATGGGTCAAAGAAAGAACAATGAGGTTTTTTTATTCGTTTAGTTTGCCTTTCTTACGTGATTTATACAAATTTCTTTATTTATCTTGCTTTTCTTTTTTCAATTTCATTTTATTTATTTTTATAATTTTTATCTTTTAAAATTTGTGGATGATGTCAACTTGGTCTAATGTGTCAGCTCACATGTTGTTTATTATAGAAAAAATGATCGAAATCTCATCAAATGAATTATATTTAAAAAATATATATTAAGAATAGAAAGATGAATATGCAATTATTTCGATTTTTAATACGTTTTCAAACCATACTTGTATAAAAAATCTTACAAGATTTAATTGAAGCAAGGTAAAAGTTTTAGGTGAAATTAAAAGAATATATAAACCTTAGGAGATAAATTGAAATTTACCAAAAAATTCCCGCTCCGGTGTTCCCTATCTACTGCGATCTGCTATCTATTGGCATGGAGCTTGAGGTATAATTTTATGGGCTGGGCTGGGCCCCGCCATTCTTATGATGGTTTACTGGAGATTTGGGAATTTTAAAATCCGGCCGGTTCCTGAAGAAAAAGAAAAAGAACTGAATGAGGCCAACTGGTGGGCCATGCACGCACAGAACTTTTGAAGCAACTCTAGAGGGCCCATAGTGCAGCTCTTCCTTTCTCCCACACTTCCTTCCCTCCTTAAACCAGATTTAATCCCAGACAGCTTAGTGATTACCAGAGAAACCCATTCCCTTGCAATGGAAACGAATAATGAAGACAAAAGATGGAAAAGCAACTGAAAAATGATAAGCCCAAGGAATTATGTAAGGGACCTCCCATTGGCAGTCAAATAAGCCAACAAAATGGAACAATCAGCAAGCGAAACCCAAAGAAAAACAGAAATCATGAACCAACCAAATTCCAAGATCAACAGCTGGGCCAGCCACGATAACCAAAAGAAGTAGACCAAAGGAAGGGAATGATGAAAGAAAGCAAATAATGAATAAAAAAAGGATAGAATAGACGGAAAGTTGGGCATGAGACGTGAAAAAATCAAGGGTCCACCCACGATGAAGATTGTAATTGAACAGGAAGCTTCACAAACTCCCCAGAGGAACTGAAAGAACTTGCAGTCGATCAAAAATCGCAGGTCCCCAAAACCAAGAACACCAAAATACCCAAGAAAAAACATGAACTAAGAACCAAAAAAGCAGTGGCACATGGTTGGAGTGGAACGAAACCCATCCAAAAGAAGAAGAAACAGGTAGAGAAAGAAGCAGCAAGAGGGACTGGACTAAACAAACCCAAAAGAGAAACAACAACTCGGTTCAAAATGCACACTCGTGGGTCCTCACCTGCAACAAAAAAGTCTCCCAAACGTTGGTCAAGGCGCTAAGAGGAGAAAAGAGCAGCATTAATGAGCAGGATGAAAGACTGCAAGCAAGAAGGAAAATCACAAAGGGCACAGACAACTCCAACCAAGCAGAATCGGACGGCTTTGAAAGCAAGAGAAGGGGCAACACAGTGACAATGAGTCTCGGTCCACGGTGACATCGAGTCTTGATATACAGTGAATGAATAGTGAACCATTCAGTTCTTTTAGTTTTTTTGTAATTAATTAAGCCTGTTACTACCCGCATCTGGACTTTGATTGAGAGCCAACTAGCATCCACGTTCTACAATGTTGTTCTCTCATATCCGCAGTACTGTGGTTTTTGAGGGGTTTTTTCTCCATGGAAGTAGCCAAGTTCAGAACCATATGGCATGCATTATTGGACTAACTATAATTAAGGATGCTCCATTGCAACAAAACTTGTCCATGATTCGGAAATGCTTGTGAGATGGCCTTTTGAATTGTTAGGCCAGGTAGGCGATTCACGGCGTCAGAAACAAAAATGTGAAAATTGTATAAGGGTGTTGAGGTTCAAACTTTTTTGCTCCACAGGGCTTGTTTTTTAATCCTGGCCCAAATATCCGAATCATTAGGGATAGAATACTAGATATTGACGTTGTGATTTAAGAACATATTAGAAATTTATTGTTCAAAACACACACATATATATTATTTTTTAGGTTGACAAATTCAAATTAGTATAGATACAAGATCTAATTTAACAATTTCTAACCTCATTTTAGTTGAATGTAAAACCCGAATTTTGAAAATTTAGAATCAAAACAAGTGAGAGATACACTGTCCTAATAATTTTTTATTCCTTTCTTTATTGAAATATTTGACATTTGAAAAAACAATTTTTTGTCAGATGTTTAGACAGCACGACTTTTTAGTACATAGCTAAATAACTCAAAATACCAACCGATATTATTGTTTCGTTTTTTTTAGTAATGATTTCACATATGGAGTATAGTATTTTTGGATGATTTAAAATTGTATTAAAATTAGGTTTATCTCATGCTTCAATCAAAAGTAGGTTAGGATAGTATTTATTTTTCACTATGACTATTTTTTATATCAATTTTATCTTTAAATTATTTTATTTTTTAATTAAAAATTTTGTCATAATCATTGAATAGAAAAAGTTAAATTTCCTGCATTTAAAAAAAATTAATTTATATAGAAATATGGATTAAAAAACTTTAAACATGACTGAAATACGTAATTGAGAACCTCTGAAAATTCAAAAGTTTAATTGATATAAAAAATCATTTAGTAGTAAAATGGAGGAGATTGATACAGGTGGCCGTTGGGAGGCAATTTTTAGTATTGTAAAACTACTAAGATTCTTATTAAAACAAGGGCGTCGAATGAGCTTTGGATTACTTCCAAGGCTTCCCCACTCTGGCGTGCATGGCCCATTATGCTCCGACCCCAGTAGGCTTCATTCTTCCTCTCTTTTTTTTAGGCTTTTTTCCTCGAAACAGGCGGCCTTTGATTATTCCCAAATCTCCAGTAAACCTAGACAAAAATGGCAGGGCCCAGCTCGTAAAAATACCTTAATGCCAATAATTCGCATATCGCAGTCAAAAGGGGACACCGGAGCGGCATTATTATTTTTTTCCGGAGTCTCGGATTTAAATATTAGGAATTGAAAAGAGTTAATTATAAATTAGTTCTTTTATGTTCAAGAAATAAATTAATTATTTTTTTGTCTAAAAACTAATTATATAGTTTTTTTATTAATGTCGATTATAATTTATTTAATATTACTTTATTTAAAAAAATATTTTATTTTCTTACCAATATGTGTGTGTGTATATATATATAAATTAAAAAGCATAAAATTAATGAAAATTACTAAATAATTAATTTTTAAAACAAGAAGGAATAATTAATGTAAAAAAAAAAACCAAAATGAATAATTTATAATTTACTCGAATTGAAAAATGTCATTTTCATTGTGTGACTCAAAATTTATTACATCTTGATAAGAAATAGATGAGTCTTCTGAGAAGAGAAAGAGACACCTAACTCTACGATTTTTTTTTAAAAAAACTACTGAAAAGGGTTCGACGTAGCGGCGCAAACACAATTCATAACATAACAAATTTAATAGCTGTAATTAGTCTTGTAGCAACTTCTGCTAAAAATTGCAAAATTAATACATTACAAAAAAGTCACCGGAGGGATAAAGGGATTTTTAGGATTTGAAGAGATAATTGATTTTTCATTTTTGCTCAGAAATAATATGAGAGACATGTGCATTAATGATCTAAAAAATTCTTTCTGTTGCGTAAAAAATTTATTTTTTATTCAAAAATATTTGAACTCAAGATTTTTTTGAAAAAAGAGATATACTAATGTCAATCGAGTTAAAATTTTATTTACGTATGAAATCCTTCTTGACAATTTATTCAATTCCTATATGCATTTGAGATGCATATAAAATGTTTTTAAACAAGAGGTGGAAAAATATATTATTGCGAAGATAAATGAATAGAATCTATTGTACATTTCAATGGTCTTTTTTTTTAGTACGATTCAACGAATCTACCATGAAAAATTAAAAGGGGAAGGTGGTATTTTGTTGAACTTTTCTGAAATTTAAGTTTGTTCTTTTGCATGCATAAAAGAAATAAATACCCTTAATTGCACATAATTAGTCCCTTAGATAAGATATGTGTTATTTTTATCCAGTCTCGTACTACAGATGGTGCCCAGGTGTAAACAGTAGTAGCTAGCAACGACAAAGGGCAGAACGAGCAACCCTTCTTCATAACAAATAACTTTTTGGTGAACAATGGAAGGAAAATTCTCTTGGAAACAGAAAATCACAACGCTCGAATTATTTTAAGAGATTTGGGTCTTCCGCATGCACATGGAATATTGACAAGTGGCCACTCAGTAATGGGAACGGTCATCTTGGGATTTTGAGTTTGGAGACCGCTTCCATTGATGATTGGGTGTTTCGATTTAGGGAGAAAAATAAAATGATACCGTACTAAGAAGTAGAAAATTAATTATAGAGTACTCTTTATCAACCTGAGCTGCCTCGGTCCTCCGAGAGATCGATTAGGTTAGCACGAGCTTCCTCGTTTTAGTGTCTTGTGTGTTTGTTTATGATGACCTGAGCTTCCTCATCGATTTTCGAGAAACTTGAAGAAATATTGTGGATCGTAGTGTTAAATTAAATTAACCCAATCCGAGATTAATTAGGAGGCAATCCACGTATAGCGTATCATTCACTCATTAATACTCACTACTTAAACAATAAGCATAAAGGATGATCCTCCATGGAAGAACTTAATTTATGATGATCCATGAATACAATGATCATAAAATAGACAGGTTAAATAGGTTAATTTTTTTCTAATTCTAATTTATTTGAAAATTAGTCCTTAAACTTTGAATTTTGAATTTGACCTCTCATAAATATTTTTTTTCAAGAGATTTAGCCTATCATTTTTTATTTTTTATTTTTGTCTCAAATAGCAGTCATATAAATAGCTCTATAATAAAAATTATTTAATAAAATTTATTTTGGGCTCCTCGAAAAATTTAGGACCTTTCCAAGTTATTTCTCGAACTTGAAAACTTTTAAGATTTTTTTAAAAAATTAATTGATTTCTTTCAATATGTGTATGAAATTTCAAATTAAAATGCTAATAATTAAATTTTTAGAGAGAGAGAGAGAGTGATAGTTGAAAAATCACATGATGGCCTAATTATATATATATATATATATATATATATAAAGTTCAAGGGAAGTCGGACTCAAAATTAGAATTTTAAAAACTAATTTTCAAATAAACTAAAATTCAAAAAAAGTTTGATCCATTTAGCACAAGCATAAGCTATGTGGTTGAAAGATAGACCATATGTGATGGTACGAGCTAATATGAGGACCCTGCGGAAAGAAAAAAGAGAAGAAAATGAATTGCTAGAGCCATTGAGGCGTGGACCACGCATGATGATACGAGATAATGAGCTAGAGAGGTGCCGACTAATGAACCAAAAAGAAAGGATGTTATATGTAATTGAATAGAAAAGTATGGCAAGATGTAAAAGCTCGGTAATCCATATCGTGTTGCTCCAGCTTTTATAGAGTTATACATGAGATAGGTTTATAGAGTTATATTAAACTACAAAGAGATTTTATCCCTAACTCCTAGTAGATGTTTTATATCCTTGCTAGTATATGTTATTGCTTACATTCAAGACGAGAGGAAGAGGGCATGACGATAAAGGCGGAAGGAGAAGGAGATTTTATTAAAGAAGACACGATAACAAAGGCTTATCTTAACGGTCCTCTATAAACCGATTGTGGTCTTTCACCTATATAGACTCTCTTTGAAACCACATCCCCGATAAAATGAAAGTCAATTTCGATATGCTTAATATGAGCATGAAATAAAAGGTTAACTACTAGAAATATGACTTCAAAATTATTACACTAAACTATTAGTTTGGATGCCCTTATAACCCCAAGTTCACCAAAAAGAGAAGTGACCTAAGATAATTCAACGACTAAGTCGGCTAATGCTTTATAGTTAGCTTATGTGGAGTTTTGAGCAACGATCTTTTATTTAGATGACCTTTAAGAGATCAAATTAGGATTAAGATAGACGACATACCTCATTGTAGATTTTTTATCATTCACGTAACCTACCTAGTCAAAATTTATAAAATCAAAGAGGTGATAAGAATGAGATTTCGAAAATATAGACCAAGAATGGCAATGCTTTTGAAATAACATAAAATTCAATTAACGACAACTTAATTTTCAACTGCAAAAACATATATGAACTAATATACTTTGTTGACAACATAGGCGATGTCTCGTGTCAAAATAGCATATTGAAGAGTCCTTACCATATATCGATAAAGTGTAACATCTTAAAAAATCATAGGAAAGTTTGAGTCAACTTAGAAGTGGTATGTATGAGAGTAGAGACTGATCGACGATTATGCATGCCATGTTTACATACTAAGTCATTGAT